GGAGTTGTTGATGTTCTCAGTGTTTTTGTTTTTTTTTTTTTTTTTGAGAGGTTTTTGCTATAGGGCGCGTGTGCTCGCCAGACAGATAGAGAAAGACAGACAGACAGAAAACGAGAAATCACCCCCCAGAGGGGATGGCCACGCCGCAATCCCTTCTCCTCCATTCTCCTCTCGGGACCGCGGTCAACTACGTGGGAGTCCAGCAACATAGCCATTACGCTAACTGCTGGTCCTATCAATATTGTTGACTTTATGTAACAATGAAAGTAAAAAGAGAGCTAAAATAAGGGACCAACATGATACAGAGGCTTGTGCTTTTTAAAAACTTGTTAGAGAGTGGCGTGTGTGTGTATTCACCAGAGAGAGACTGGGAAAATGAGAAAGACCCCTCCCATGGGAAATGGTTACACCACAATCCCATCTCTTCATTTCTCCTTTTCCTTTTGGGTCTTTGGGCATACATACACATGCACTCAGCATGTTTTTCAAGCCTGCAGGTTTAGGACTTGAACCATGTAGTCGGCTGTGTAGGACCCAGCCACCATAACCACCACACCATCAGCTAGCCTGTGCTTTTTTTATTTTTTTTTTTTAGTGAGCATGAGAGCATGGGAGAAGGAAGATAGTGTGAGAGAGAGGTATTTTTGACAGCGTTCCACCATTGTGATTCTTTGCCCAGCCTCCCAGGTAGCTAAGATCACAGGGGTATCACCACTATGCCCAGCCCATCTTAGCCAGTGAACCCTGGCTTCCCTTGCAACCCCTGCCTCACACAGCATCTTACGACTTGTGCTACCATGGCTGGGACAGATTACACTTTAATAATCTTCTCAGTGTCTTAATTTCCAGTAGTAAAACCTTCTGTGTTTTCTTTAGCTCTATTTGTTTGCCTAAGTTTCTGATTAACACATGAGAATGAAAATGGATATTTTTCTCCTTATTAATATTTTCCTATAAGTAAATATTTAGTTGTTTCTTTTATGGAAGAAACACATATGCTACATTTCCCTTTCATGCATGAATGAGAACAAATGGGGTAATATATTCATTGCTGGGACCAGCAGTTGACGTAATGGCTCTGTCACTGGTCTCCCCCGTAGTTGACTGTGGTTCGAGTCCTGGACCTAGTGGCTTAAACTCCCACTGGGCGCATGTGCATGCGCACCCAAGATCCCGAGAGGAGAATGGAGGAGAAGGGATTGCAGTATGGCCATCCCCCTTGGGGGGTGATTTCTCGCTTTCTGTTTCTCTGTCTCTGTCTTTCCAGTGAGTGCATGTGCCCATAGCAAATTTTAAAATAATAATAATGATAATTAATTAATTCTTAAAACAAACAAAAAAGGGTGCATCCCTGAGGAGCATACTCTCAGTATCCATCATCCTGTGAGGAAGGGGAATCCCCTAGAAACTGTAGGTCCCTCCAGTATCATCACTCTCCTGACTTAGTGCAGACTGATTACTGCCTTGCTTTTCACAGTATTATCATTCTACCACCTCAGCTTGCATTCCTGAACACTGTTTATTTATTGTTACTCACTTTAGAACTTGATGTAAATAGATTCATACAGTATTTTATGAGAGATTTTTTCCACTAATTAATAATATTGGGTCATTGGAAAAGTCATGATGTATTTTTCTATGTTTTTCTATGCAAAATTGCATCATGACTTTTTGGATGACCCAGTACTTTGAGATTCCACCCTGTTGATGTATTCGCTGTGATTAGTTTCTTCTCGTTGCTGTTCAGTATTTCATTCTAAGTAGAGATTGCAATTTGTCATTGATACTATTTCCAGTTTTTGAGAGTGACGAATAGTGCCGTTATGAACATTCATGTAACATGTCTGGTCTGTATAGCCACTCCTCACTTAACCTCCTCATTTAATGAGGCTCAGAGAACCCTCTTTCTCCGTCTGTGTGTCTTCGGAATTCCCCTTTCTCAGCTTCTATCTCATTCCTACAGTCAGTATTCACTACACGGAATAGTCCCAGTCATGCAAAACTATACATTTTTATGCTTTATTGTGCAACCACAATAGTATTCAGAATAAATAAAAATTATTATACCTGATTTATATTATTGTGTTGTGGCATGACTTGTTGCTTTTGGTGCTTATATGTGTATGCTTTTTGTATAGATAGAATGACATTATTCTAGTGTGGTGTCACATTACATCTAAGGAGCCATGACACACCAAAAGATAGCCACCTTTAAGCTCCTCGCTTATTGGCCAATTCACTCAACAACCCACTAATGAGAACATAACTCAGTTGTTAGGTGAGTGCCTATACTTCAGAGTGAAATTATGGTAGAAGGGCCTATATTCCTGACGTGATTATGAATATTATTTCTGGCTTTTTTTTTTTGGTAATATCAGAGGATGCATATGTGCATAAGAGAGAGAGAGAAAAAAAAAAGTACCTCAACAGGGTCTGGTCACCACAATTCTTTTTTCTGCATTTCTCCATCCTATCAGGATCATGGCCACATGCACACATCTTTCTGAAGTGTTGCCAGTGGATCGGGATTCAGACCTCATTCAGCATGTGGGATCTAGCTCCTGCTACACAGTGCTAGGGGACCAGTACCTGGATTCTTATAATAAATTAGGACATATACATTACGTGGTCACTCAAGTCCAGGGGTTTCTAACCTCCATACTATAGACATTTGGGGCTGAATAGTTTTTTGTTTGGGTTGTCCTGTGCACTGTAGGAGGTTTAGCAGCAACCCTGGGCTTTCCCTGCTAGGTGCTGGTGGCACTGTCCCTCCTTCAGATCAGAACAACCAACAGTTTCTGCAGACATTGCCTGATGCCCCCTTGGCATTTGAGACTACATTTGGCTTAGTTCCTGGGTTGTGTATATTCTCACTAGATACTACCCAGTGGCTTTCTCCAGTAGCTTTCTAAAGGGCTATGTCCCTTCAGGATGGTGTGCTGGCTCCTGTACCGCACATTTGTACTCACGCATTTCCAGCTTTTAAATTTTACCCTTTCTCTTGATTATGTAATGAATGGTATCTTATGTTGATTTTAATTTGCATTTCATTGATTATTGAAGCTGAACATGTTTTTAAATGTTTAAGGAACATTTGGTTATCCTCTTATGAAAAACATGTTCAAAACTCTTACTCCTTTTTTTATATTCAGTCATCAGGTGATGGACGTTTGGATCTTACTGTTATGTCCTCTGACAATTATGTATATTGCATATATCTTCTAAACCTTTGTGGCTGTTGACTTTTCACTTTCCTAATGACATCTTGGGATAAACTGAAGTTCTAGATTATTATTTATGTAACCAACCTATTAATTTTTTCCTTCATGGTTGGCTTTTTTGGTCTTAAGGAATTATTGTCTACCCCAAGGTTATTAAGTTTTATTTTTATTTATTTATTTAGGTTTTTGCCATGGGATGCATGTGCATTTATCAGACAGGAGAGACAAGAGAGAGGAAAGTTGGGGACCAGCAGTTAGCGTAATGGCTATGTCACTGGACTCCCACGTAGTCGACCGTGGTTCGAGTCTCGGACCCGGCGACTTAAACTCATGCCGGGCGCATGTGCATGCATGCCCAAGATCCCGAGAGGAGAAAGGAGGAGAAGGGATTGCAGCATGGCTATCCCCCCTGGGGATGATTTCCTGCTTTCTGTCTCTCTGTCTCTCTCTGTCTGTCTGTCTGGCGAGCACATGTGCCCTATAGCAAAAACCTCTCCAAAAAAAGAAAAAAAGAGAGAGAGAGAGAGGAAAGTGAGAAATCATCCTCGGGGGGGACGATCATGCCAGAATCCCTTCTCCATTCTCCTCTCAGGGTTTGGAGCACATATACACTCCCAGAGTGATTTTCAAGCCACTGATTCCAGGACACAAACCACTATCAGCCATGGAGGAATCCAATGCCTTAACCACGCCACCTGCTGGTCACATTAAGATTTTTTGTTTTGTTTTGTTTTGTTTTAGAATTATTTTAACTTTATTTATTTTATTTTTATTATTTATTTATTTTAATTTGACCAGAGAGAGAGAGAAAGCAAGCTGCTGGGTCCGGGACTCAAACCATGGTCAGCCATGTGGGAGTCTAGCACCTTAACCACCACACCACCTGCCAGCCCCAAGATTTTCTTTTTTAATTGCCTAAGAGCGTGCTTTCAGAAAGAAAGGAGTTACCCCTGATGTGGTAGTAATGCTACAAGCTTTTTTCTTCATTCTTCCATCCTGACAATATTTGGGGCATGCACATTACACACGTTCAATGTGTACTTCTAGCAGTTAGAGTCAGGATTCCAACCGTGTTTGGCCATGTGGGACCTGGTTCTTTTGTTTTTGTTTTTTTAATTGTTTGCTGTAGGGAACATTGATCACTGGAGAGAGTCGGAGAGAAAGAGAGAGAAATCACTCCCCAAGGAAGATAAGCCATGCCACAGTCTCTTCTCCGTTCTTCTCTTGGGATTTTAGGTAAACATTCACAAGTACCTGGTATGTTTTTCAAGCTGCCAGGCTTGGGACTTGAACTATGCAGTTGATTGTGGGTGATTCAGCACTTTATCCACCACACCAAGTGCTAGTCACTATTCTGTAACCTTTTAGGAGCATTTTACCTTTCACATAGAGCTGTACAATGCTGTAGGGGTGTGTGTGTGTGTGTGTGTGTGTGTGTGTGTGTGTGTGAATAAGGGGGCTTTGCAAAGTTCAGGGAAAAATTGATTTAAAAAGTAAGACAATTTTTCCATTAACTTTTTGAAGCTTCTGATATATAGGAGTCAATTTCATTTTGAGCATGGACATTGAGATGTGCCGCAGTACCATCTTTCCCCCGCGCTGTGTACATCTTCCCACTTTTATCATAAGTCGAGTGTCAGTATAGCTGACTGTTTTGGGAGATTTTCTCTTCTGTTCTGTTGTTCTGTTTGTCCTTGCACCATTTCCACTGTTGTAGTTATTATAACATTTTAATAGATCTTGAACAAGTTCCCATATTGTTCTTATGTTTCAGGTCTGTTTTAACTATTTTTGGCCTGCTCTACTTCCCTGTAAATTTTACACTCAATTTTTCAAGTTCCAGTTTTTTAAAAAGTTGAGATTTTGATTGAGAGGTAAATGAATCTATATATCAACTGGAATTATTATAATATTGAATTATCTGATCTGTGAATTTGGAATATATTCTGCCATATATTTAAGTGTTCTTCTTATTTCTCCCAACAGTTTTTTTTCTTTTTTAAAGAATTATTTTCTTTAACTTTATTTATTTATTTTAATTTGACCAGAGAGGGATGAAGTGGGGGGAATGAGAAAGCAATCTGCCAAGTTTAGGACTCGAACCTCTGTCAGCCATATGGGAGTCCAGCGCCCTTAACCACCATGTCATCTGCCACCTCCCAACAGTTTTTTATAAATAACATTATAAATTGCGCACCATGAAGTTTGTCTTTTAAAATGTGTAGTTCAGTAGTTTTTAGTATAGTTACAGAGATTTATAGTATTATTGTTATCTTTTTTTTTTTTTTAAGAGAAATTTTTGCTGTAGGGCACTTACACTTGCCATGGGAACAGAAAGAGGCAGAGAAACACAAAGTGAGAAATCACCTCCTGGGGGGATGGCCATGCCGCAATCCTTTCTCCTCTTTCCTTTTGGGATGTCGTGACACGTGCACACGCACCTGGCATGAGTTTTAAGCTGCCGGGTCTGGGACTCAAACTGTCATTGACTATTTTAGATTCCAGTGACAGAACCATTATGCCACCTGTTGGTCCATATTATTGCTATCTTAATTTCAGAATATTTGCATCACTCATAAAAAGAAACACTGTACTCTTGATATCCCACATTCTCTCCCAATTATTGAGAAATCATGAATCTACTTTCTGCCTCTGTACCTTTGTCTATTGTGGATTTTTCATATGAGTAGAATCACGTAATATGAGTCTCCTGTCTTTCACTTAACATAATATTTTCAAGAGTCATATATGTAGTGACAGATATCAAAACTTCATTTCTATGTGTACACATTTCACTCACTCATCAGTTGACAGGCATTTGGATTGCTCTCTCAACAATATTTTATAGTTTTCTGAAACAGCATCAGTGCAGAGTTTGAAGTGATCATAACTGGTGTTTTTTCATGATTCTGTTTCTGGTCAAATGTTCCTTGGGTTTTTGATTATAATGGATTATTAATCTCCCTGAGAACAGAGGTTTCTGTTCACCTAGTCGCATGGTTCCTCCTAAGTGCCCAGACCAGTTCCTAGATCACGGATTACAGTCAGTAGTAGTTGTAGTATAAATGAACGAACAGTCACAGTAATGATCTAGGTTGGGATGCTGTGCTCTTTTTTTTTTTTTTTGGAGAGGTTTTTACTATAGGGTGCATGCGCTCGCCAGACAGACAGAGAGAGACATAGAGACAGAAAGTGAGAAATCACTTCCCAGGGGGGATGGTCACGCCACAATCCTTTCTCCTCCATTCTCCTCTCGGGATCTTGGGCACGCACGCACACGCGCCCGGTGTGAGTTTTAAGCCACCGGGTCTGGGACGCGAACCGCGGTCGACTACGTGGGAATCCAGCGACATAGCCGTTAGGCTAACTGCTGGTTCCCGGCATGTTGTGCTCTTTTTGAAAGAGTATATAATTCATACAAGTTTTCTTAGAACTTTGTGAAGTGACCATCTTTTGTTTGCAGATGGAGTGGTTCAATCATTATAAAAGATCCCTTGCTACGTACATGCGGTCACTGGGAGGAAATGAAGGTCTGGACATCACACAGGACATGAAACCTCCCAAAAGCCTGTATATCGAAGTATGTGCACCTTTTACAAATGCGTTTTTCTTTAATGCATAGACTGTGCTGCATTGTATCTAGGAAACATATGGACATATTAGCTTCTATTAAAAAAAGGAAGGGCCAGCCTGATAGTGGCTAAGGGAGCCAGACCCCACATGACTAATTATTGTTCAAATGCCCACTCTAGCAGCTTGAAGTATACACTTTGCCCAAAATCTTGTCAGGATAAAGAAACTAATTTTAGTCATTTGTCTTCTTTTTTATCTTTCTTTCTTTTTTTTTTTTTTTTGGGGGGTTTTTTGTATAAGGCGCATTCGCTCCG